ACATGAATGTAAGGGATTTCCGTTTTTGCAACACATTCAAGGTTTTGGAGCTGTGGACCAAGAGAAATTTTAGATGTGATTGTGGAAACTCAAAATTTGGAGAGTTCTCATGCAAGCTTTCCCCAAATAAGGATGTAGAGAATACAGAGAATTCATATAATCACAACTTTAAAGGTCTATACTGCACCTGCAATCGCCCCTATCCAGATCCAGATCTCGAGGAACAAGTAGAAATGATACAGTGCTGTATGTGCGAGGACTGGTTTCACGAGGAGCATATCAGTCTCAGCTCTCCCAATGAGGTTGGTAGGCTGCATCTCAGTTCATGTACTCCATTCCTGTATCATGGTTTTTTCTTCACTAGTTTTTGCCTAAATATCCTATAAAATTGCATTATACTTTGGTTTCACTGTTAAAATTATTGGCAAATCTAGATATGACCTATTCAGCTAGCCCATATTATTGTTTACCACTGTTAAAATTATGAAATGTGCAGTAGGCTGCTCGTGATCAACTTTTTGTGAATTCTGCAGCTGCCTCATTTAGGGTTCAATTCATATTAAGCATGATGCCACTGACACTGCTCTGGCCTGAAATTTTATCTTTAAAGATGCATATGGCTCTAATCATTTGTAAACATGGAATAATTCAGTAAACATATTGATTTTAATGACAATTTATTTGTTTGAAGGACTTTTCAATGGGGAATTTTTTACATGATTGGTTTAATTGAAGTTGAGCAATGTAAATAGCTAACTTGACCTTATATATTGCATAATAGGAAGTGAAAAAATGACTGCTATTTAGCAGCACTTGCACTATTCTTTTGAGTTATTGGTATTGGGAACAGATTATGATCTGAAAATATTTGTATGACAGATTCCTAGAGATGAGGAAGGGGAGCCACTATATGAGGATTTCATATGCAAGGCATGTTCAGTGGTTTGTTCATTTCTGACTCTGTATCCTAAAACCATATGGGCAGCTGGGAGACAGCCTGTTGCTGCTAACAAAAATAAAGTTGTGGTGGAAGACATCCTTTCTAAAGATGAAGATGGGAAACTTGACAATGATTCGTGCTCTGATGCTGTCCAAAAGGATCATTTGGTTGCCGGCGCTAATGATGAAGCTGCATCTGATGAGAAGAAGTCCATTGTCGGAGAAGGCTCTGAGAGCAATGCTAGCTCAAGTCTCTCTGGAAGTATTGCCAGTTCAATTCCTACTTGTGTTCTTGTAGTAGATTGGATGGCTGCATCACTTGATTCCGAAAGTAAACCCCTTTTTCTTTCTAAGAATTGGAGAGATGCCCTCTGCAGATGTGATAAGTGCTTGGACATGTACAAGCAAAAACATATCAGTTACCTACTTGACAAGGAGGATTCAATAGCAGAGTATGAAAAAAATGCTAAGCAAAAGAGGGATGAAAAGTTGCAGCAAAGGGAGGGTGCTGAATTGAATTTCTTTAACAATCTCGGTCATGTGGAAAAAATGGAAATTCTGAATGGCATTGCAGACTTCAAAGATGAGTTCCGGTCCTTCCTGGTATGGCATTGATCGTCTATATTTTGCTTAGTGGTTTATTGTTTTTCTTGACCGTGATCGCGCACCTTTTTAGTTTCTAACCTGTGCTGAATATATTCCAAGCTGTGCATTTTTTCATGTTCCTTCATCGTCAGATTCTTCATTTATATACCTTCAGAAGCATAGCTGCTGTCCCTGAGATTTATGTTTAAAACTTTTGTTTTTCTATCCTTTAGGGCTCGGTAGATCCTTCAAAGGCCATCACAGCAGCGGATGTCAAACAGATGTTTGAGAACCTTAATAACAAGCGCCGGCGTGTGTAGTTTAAGGCTTTTTCAGTGGATGTTACTACGCTTGCTGAGTTTTAACTTAGACTACTATCTCTAATATCATGAACCATACGCAGTTGTGTCTTTGATGACGTTGTATTCACTATGTTTCCCTATTAGCTGAAGCTATGCTATGTTTGACAATATATATGTACCCTATTAAGATGCTTCGAGCATACTTTATGCATATCTTAGTAGGTTTTATCCAAGTTAAAACATGCCAACGTCCAACCACCTGTGCTTGTTCTCATACTGGGGCCCAAGTAAACGGTTCAAGTCCTTTTGAGTTCAAACAAAGTAGGCAGGCGGACCCACCCTTCATGTGTAGTCTTTGATTTCCAGTTCAAATGATTAATTTTTTTTAATTATGACGAAAGCCATAGGTTTTATATTCAACTAGTCAAATCAAGGTGGTAGCCATATTCCTTTTTCAGTTAAGATTTTTGTGCGTGTATCATGTTAGTCACGAGACAAACAGGAAAAAGGAAAAGAAACAAAATAATGATTGTGCATAACACAGGGACGAGGATGAAAAAAATAAAATCGGAGTTTTGACAATTTAAAATGGGCCTGTCCCTATTTCACTGGCCTTTTTTTACACTAGACAATATGGGGTGTGAGAAACCAGTGGGAGGGTTTTTTTTTCCAACATGGATAAGGGTAAATTATTTCGAAAAATATGACAGATAAAAGTTTATTTTGGGATTTATGACGTTTGTTACAATTTTCAAGAGACTTGTCATGTTGAGTTAATGGGTTTCAATAAAAATATTTTTTATTTAAACTTATCACGTCGAGATGATGAATTTTAATAAAATATAATTTTTTATTAAATTTTATCATATAGAGATAAAAAAATTCGATAAAAAATATTTTTATTAGAATCCGTCATCTCAACGATGTGACGAGTTTCAAGTCATTATTACAGATATCATACATCCCTAAATAAACTTCTATATATCCTATTTGATTGATTAATTAAACTGTTTGTTCTATTCGAAAAAAAAAAAACCCACAGTGGGAGAGGAGGTTGATGATCCACCAAGTTTAGTAACAATAATACAACAGAAAGTTTATGACAGGTTCAGAATAATCAAACGAAATTCTCTCGAGTGTCCAGTAGTTTCACAAGGCTAATAGAAATTCAGATGGTGTTTGGTAAGCATGAGATCATATAGTTGCATTCAAATAAAATATGCAAATTCGTCAACAAAACAAAGTTTAAGTGAAAAAGAAAAAAATAGTTTTCCTTCCTATCCTCAACCCACTTTTTGCTATGCGGAAGTTATAATTTCTCTCGAGTAGTTTTCAAAAACTCTTCCTTTATGGTGGTAGTCTTCTCTGATCACTCCATGTCATTTTGTTTGTATTTGCTATAATAATACTCTTGGTCTTTTTTCTAGTAAAGGGTATCATGACTACCGATGTTTTTGAACTCTCAGTGTAGGTTTTTAATTGGTCTTCTTCAAGGTTTTTATTTTCCCTGAATACATAGTTGTTGCTTTCCCTGGTTCCTCTGTTCCATTGTACAAGACGGTTCGTTAGTTATCGCATCTAAGTGTCGGATGTGATTGTTGTGAAGGGGAGATCTCTTTTTCCGTTTTTGGTTTTTTTTCAAGTTTTTCTCTTCAATGTTTGATGCTCGGAGTCGTTGGTGTGTGCAATTTTTGTACGTCGTTGCTTTACTTGTTAATAGTTTTTTTATAGGTATATCTAAACTATCATTATTATATTTATTTTCGATAATCTCAACTATAATTACTTAGTCTGTTATTGATACGACGTTTGTTGATATGAGTTTCGATAAATAAAAAATTATTTTCAAAAATAAAGTTCAAGGAGACAAATTGTTAGGTTGCATTTATGTCCTCGATGAAATGAAAAAAAAAAGTTAATGTGTTTCCACAGTAAACATTGAAATAATCTGGAACCAGTCACTTCCCACTACCTAATCTTTGGAGACTGTCGACTAATAATCTTCGATTCTTCTCTTCTTTGACGCTCCTTGATTGCGAAACATTGTGGTAAAATATATATATATATTTTTTAAAAATTATAAAAAAAAATGTCCATTAAATTTTAGTTTGATTAACGCAATTGATATTATAGTGTAATAAGAATTCGGATTTAAACATGTTTATGTTCAATATATTTAATTTATAGATATAAATAAAACGGTAAAATTATACTCTTTCTTCATCAATTTTGAATTCTAATGGAAAATTTCTAATTTGATCGGTACTTACATATAACAAATAATATAAATATATTCAACGTCGATATTCTGTCACGATAACATCATAAAGAGTGGGAACTCCTCCAACCATGTCTCAATCAGCAGCAGTGTCAAAGGTTTATTAATAGTGTTGGCTGGCTGTTTGTACAACACAATTTAGTTGAAGCAAAATGGTCGATCCACACAATTTATCAGGAATTTTCTTCTGAAAATAATACTGAATTTCGGAGCATAAAATCCATGTCCACACCATGCAGTAGAGATATGCTTGCTGATCACATGGTTTGACAGAAAAAAAACCCTAATTAAACGACGTTGAACAAGTCCAAGGAGATTGATTTATTAAATCATCAATGCTTTAAACATATTGTTTTTGGCCTCTCTTTATAGATAAACGCGTAGTGCATACTTTTGGTAACTTTTGATTTTCTAACCTTCCACCCAATGGATGAAGAAGATGCTTAACGAGGCATAGACTAGTGTTTTCAAATCAAGATTTTTAACGGTTAATAATAGTGCTAATTGTCAGTATCAGTTTGCATTAAGATAAACAAAAGATCAGAACTAGTTGAACATTGTCTACGTAAATTCTGCCATTTCTTCATGCACCACACAGATGCCGACAATATGTATAAATATTATGATGCAGTGGTCGATCATGGAGGGCCAAGTGTTTTTTTAATACCCAACTACTATAAAAAAAAACCTTTAAAAGCTTATTTAACTCATAGTCTTAATAAAAAAAACCTGGCTGTAATTAGTTTATATGAAGTTGACTGCTAAGTTTGTCACTTACTGTGTGGAAAAATCAAGTCCCGTGAGGAGAAAATCAGTGTTGATTACACAAAAGATTTAGTGTATCTAATTTCGTTTATAAATATGCCCTCATTCCGTTCCCATTTCACAAGTTTTTGTAGCTGAAAAAGAAAAAAAAAACATGGGGAACTGTATGGGGAAGACATTCAGATCAAGGCAGGAGGTTGAAGAAGAAGAAATAGAAGAGATTCGTGAAGCTGCTGAGGAACAAAACGAAGGGGGGAAAGGCAGCATGAAGGTGAAGATTGTGCTTACAAAAGAGGAGCTCGAGTTGTTGTTACTGAAGCTGAAGAACAACAGTAATCGCGGGTATAGGTTAGGGGAACTTTTGGCTGAAATGGAGAAAGCTAGATCAGATAAAGTGGAGTGTTGTTGGAGGCCTTCACTGGAGAGTATCATGGAAGATGAAGAAGACGATGTTATCTGTTCATGAAAGCTTCGATCCCTCCTTTTGTAAATTATGAATGTACCCTTGGTAACATTTTTTGTTCTGGATCTTCGGGTTAGTGAGTTATGAACCGAGTTAGGCTTTAGCAATTTTTAGTTTTGAATATAGATAACTATCCCTCTCCTTTTTACTGTGACCTTGGATGTTTTATATTCAAGCTTTCATGGAGAATTAGATACCGATGGATTTACCTACTACCAACCCTGATTGTTTACTCACTCTTATATGAATTTGAGTTTCAAAATTATAAAAATTATTGTTTAATGATTAAATAATATTTTAACTCGAAATTTGTATATGGTTATTAGTTTGGTAGTTAAAGAATTTTTTTTATCGTTTTAGCCCAGAATTTATGTAAATTCATCAATTTCAATTTCTTCACCTATAAGAATAAAGAGATTATCTTAACGATATTTAAAAGTAACAAACTCAGTTGTTTGATGTTAAACGCAGAATTGTGAGTGATTCATGATGCTCTAAAACATGCATGGAGGCTTAATTTAGAGGTTGTATGGTTGTTAAACAAAGTTCTGAATCATTCATACAATATTTCCATGGTCGATACTATAAGATCGATGCTCGAACGTACATAGGAGATAAACTTTCATCCAGTTAGAAGAAGTGCAAACAACATGATTGATGTATTGCCGTTCATGTCTCGAAAGAAGAGTATCAGGAGATCCTTTTTGCCAAACAAAATTACCTCGGTGGTTAAATGAATTGTTGTTGTTCCTAGAGGTCATGGGTTCGAGCACTAGCGGCTACAGCAAGGTGATTGAGCGTTCATTGTCAAATGATTGAGAGTATTTATAACTGATACTACTTTATAATCACCTTATCTTAATGAAAAAATATTAATATGTTATGTATTAGCAGAATTAATTATCAAGTTATAAGATTAAGCCAAAAGCCCATAAGAATAAAAAAAAGACTATTACTCTTCTTAAAAATAAAGACTCAACTCTTGTGGCTAAATCCTCCATAATCACAAGAATCTTAAGGTAGAATGGAATTCATCAGTCGGAAGGGGGATTAACTGTAACAAAATTATTTTTCATGTATCAAATTGATTATTGATGGATTAGTTTGGTAAATGTTTCATAAATTCAGGGATAAATCGAATAAATATATTTTTATATGTTTGGATACCTATATAGTATGATTTTAAAGACAAATGTACTATTCATGTCATGATTTTAGTAGCTAATTAATGTTGGGAGGAAGTTGGACGTAAACTTGATGATAAGTGTTGAAATTGTCAAATAAATATTTAATCCCAAATAAATAATAAAGATAGTATAGAGAAACAAAGATCGATCCACGTGGACTAAAGAAGTCTCAACAGTTTGCTTATTTTGATCAATGGGTTTTATCTACAAAGGTAAAAATGGGATTTAAAAATAGTGAAAATAATAATAATAAATAATAAATAAAAATGACAAGAAAGTAAATAAAGTAAAAAAGTTCAATAGAGATGGTATAGTCTTAGGATTTTCTTAGACTCAATTCGATCGATCATCGAAATAAAATTTTTCATTTGTGATTTACGTCGGTTACAGTCAACATGACCTAACCCTTGTAGCTAACTATTCTCTTTGATTAACCGAAATTTTCAAGTATATCTCCAAAATTTGGTCATTGTTGGTCTAACCACGTCTATCACTACTACATCCAAAATAACTTTTTGAGTTATGGAGAACCCCATCTAAAGTTGTAGCATCTCACATAGAATCAAACTCGATTATGATTCCCCTTAGCAAATTGCCGCTAAGTTTGTTCATAGAAAGTCGAATTACGACCAACCGATCTGACTTCCAAACTTTAAGCAAAAATATTATTCAAATCAACGTGCACTTTTTGAGTTGAAGATGTAGTAACTTTTAAATAAATGGTCGGTTATCACTCTCAAGTTTCAAAGAATCAAATAAAACAATATGAAGATACGAAAACCAAGACTCAATTCTCACGATCAGTATTGAGTTTAGCAAAAGCCTTTAATTAACGAAGTGGAAGTTTAGCTAAGCATGTATTAGATCATGCTTAGCATTGTAGCAAGAAAATAATGAAAGAAAAGCGGATACGAAAGAAAAGCAGAACTTCAATAATTAACTAAAAAATAAATAAATTCCAATCTATCTTTCCGCTATTGAATCAAAGGGATATTTATAACCCGAAAGTTTTAAGTAAATAAAATATAATAATAAACATAAAATAATCAAACTAAAAATCCTATCGAGAGTTATTAATAAATAAAAATAACTAATTCCTAAATATAATAATCAAATAATCAAATTAAATATGGTTGAATTCTACTTTAATCTTCCGGATAACAAAGATAAAAATAAATATTTAAGTCTTGTTGTTCTAGTTAAATTCTGTTTCATCTTCTAGATAACATTATTTGAGGTGAATTCTAAATTAAATACTCAATATAATCCCACTCGTCTTCTAAAAGATGTTGACTGGATCATTGAAATCTATCTGTTTTTAAACTTATTAATCCAACGAAACTCAAATCATGTCCAAAATAAACCCAAAAAGAAACAAACCAATAATATTCAAACCACAAATAAAAAGTGAATAATAATAATAACATACAATATTCAACGCTCGATGAACCAGAAACAAACTCAAGGGATCAAAGGTCTCCAAGTGAGAATTATTGTTTCGTCGACACAATGGCCAGAGCTTCTGGTTTCATACTTGTATTATTAATTTCTGCACGACTCTTTGGACCGCCAACATTTATTATTGTATTAATTTCTTTACACATAAAATGCAGCCCAATTGATTCTTTACACACAAATGAAACTGATCTCATATCACAATGATGTAAGATTTTCGACCCAAATTACTAAATAAATAATAAATTAATTAACTATATTGTTGAATTCATAATTAAATGACATTGGATATAGTTTATACTTTCTTCTTTATTTCTTGTATGTTTTGTGTATCTTATTGTTTATCTATTAGCTTAGTGGGCTAGACCAATCGCTCGTTTAGAAAGAATCAATACGGATTGAGACTCGACAAGACTCACTGGGCTAGACCAATCGCTACTCTATTAGCTTAGGAGACTATGGATTCATAATCATACGGATTGGGACATATGTGCCGCATTATCATAATCTAACCCCACCTTATCTTACAACACTATGATTCTATTTATTTGTTTGGATAATTTACTCATACGATCACTCAACCTCTAGAGAACTATCAATTTAACCACAAAAATGAAGGAAAGATAAAATTCCCCCTTAAAATTTCAAAAAAGGTTCCTCTTGAGTAAACCTCAAATGCACGACTGCTACATCAAAGTAATAGATTTGTTACATGATTGAAAATAAAATAAATTAACATGAGAAGGCTAGGATTTAACTTTTAAGAATAAAATTAATGATATATCCCCGCTGATCAAAAGTTTAGGTCAGAGGTGGCTCCCTCAATTCAGGTCCAAGGCATACCTGAGACCCAATTGAGATTTACATAAGAATTTACAGATTGTCCACTAAGAGTGACAGTGGTAGGATTCTAATTAACCTTACAAGCTCAAATTCCTGAAACTCAACTACTTATGGCAACACTCATCGGCTAAAATTATCTTATTTAACTTGACGCACCAAATTAAATGTAGATTTAGCGAGGGAATGAAATAAAAGTTTTTCTAAATTGATGATTAAATTGATAGCAGCTAATAGTTGGGTCACCATCTGATTAGTTTAGCCTGTTTATTTATTTTCGTGAACCAAAAAAATTGGGGGGTATGATTGTCTTTTCCTCATAGGAGTAAGAAAACTCGAATAAACAACTCGATAGACCGGTGATGGTTAGGAAAGTGGTCGAAAATCGAAACATTATTGGTGGGACACAGAATCCTTTTCCCTAAGCTTTCTTCTTCTTCGATCCTGTCTCCTTCCACTGGTAAATATATAAATAAAAAGAGATAAAGCCCTTTCTGTTAATCAAATCATTTTCGAATTTGTTCCTTTTTTTCTACTCTTGCTGCTGATACGATTGACAAGATCAACTGTTTCTGTAAGCTCTGCAGAACCTTGTCTAATTACTTATTTTGACCGGATTTCGATTTATGGGGATTTTGTTCTTATTAGGTTTCTTCTTTTGGCTAGCTTTTCCTTTTAGTTGTTTTAGCTGTTGATTATGGGCTTTCATTTGTTTTCTTTTTCATGGGAATTGTAACATCCAATCTGTATCCGACCCGGATCTGAGTCCGAGGTATCACATTAACTTTTCAAACAATCACTTTTACAAAAGAATGAAGAATTTCAGATTTATTAAAATAAATTAATTACAAAACATATCAGAGCGTAAACTATTCAAATCTCTTAATTACATGCCAACTATATACATTAAACAAAATACATACTAATCATTTCCCTTCTAATTTGATCCGTGAAAAGGAGAATCTGACATGTCTTGCTCTTATTCGTTTCTCTTCTCGCTTTTCGTAACCTACGTGTGAAACACTCACATGCTAAGTCGATGACTTAGTGAGACATATAAAAGAATAATAGAAACTCTAATTCCTAACAATGCATGAACACTCTATCATATTACATCATACAAAATTACATAATAATTCATATAACAATTGCATACATATAATATATATTATCATTATCATGATTCACTTCTTTATTGTTATCAATATTATTATCATCCATTCCTTAATCTTGTGGTCTTGTCCCTAATACTCATACACATCATGTCATATCATACATTGACCAATCAATACCTACATCATTATATACATCATGTAATACAATTCATATTACAAAAACATATACATCACATGAGTATGTTTATTATTATCTCTTTATTATCCCATGTACATATGTGATAACTAAAAATATGTGAGTACAATGAGGTTGTGCACTATGTTGTCACCACAGCTCGTATAAATGCACCGAACTGCCACGTTGAATTGCACCGAAGTGTCGCATAGAATTGCACGTAGTGCCATATAAAATGTCCATAAGGAGCACATAGAAATTTCTTAAGAATCATATACATATGCCAAGGACCAAGTGTGTCTCAAAGGACCTCATAAATGTTCAAAGTATACATATATGTCCGAAAGACCGCGTAGACCCTCGACTCTTAGCATGTCAACTATACCTCTAGCTCTCGTGACACATAATATGGGCACTAATATTTATGTTTTAACACGTTCACATATACACATAGTCTCATAGTTCTTTCACATAGTTCATTATCGCATTTTCATAAGATCACACATAGTCACATAGTTCATTTCCATATAATTCACATATACACGTAGATCACTTGCACGTAGAACATATTCATAAAAATCACATAGCTTATAACTTGTTCTTATATCTTCTCATAACATATTCTTTTATAGATTTCTGTCATTTCATTCTCACCACTTAATTTCACCTAATTCATATTCACGTGGCTTATCTTATACCTATTTTCACATACCTTATAATTACATAGTTTACTCCATTTCACACATAGTCACATAATCACGTAATTCACTTACACATAGATCATTTCCATACCTAAATCATATAACACTTAAGTCTTCCTCATAAAGTTATACTATATGTTCATATAATCTCATATTATTCTATAAGTAAATACTTATCTTGTCTCACTTTTCATTTACTCACATAATTATTTATACCATAACATATAATTTATATCACTTATCTAATATTATTTATATACTAAGTTAATCTATTTATTTAGTTCAATTTCAAATAAATCCTATCCCATAGTTTCCTTTAAGTATATACTTCTTCCCTATAACCCTTATCTTATAGTTTTGTATCATCATTTATATTTATGTCCCTAATTTACATACTATTCTTATAAAGTCTCATAACCTTTCTTGTATAATCAATTATACCATATAATCTAACTTAAACTTGATTATCTTATGTTCACATATATTTATGTCAAATGATTCCTTAGCTTATAACTTATGTCATGTGTTCATTTCCTTCATTATATCCTTATCTCATAGCTTATTTCATATTCTTATATAATCATATAGATCATTTGCATTGTTTCACATAACTTATCACACTACCCTGTACTTATACAAAACATATAACATACATAATAACATGTCAACACATATATTCATGCACACATATAAATTATCACAAACATATACTTCTATCTATGAATTCATGTATTTAACTATTAGAATAGACTTGTCGCAAGTCTTATTCTCATTAAACATCATATACTAAATAATGTGCACTCACCTGCCTCACTAGTCAATACCAATTCCTTATCTATTCTTGATGACGATTACTTGACACCTTGTTCGTACATTACTCTCAATTGATATCTATACAATCATACATATAATATACATATCATCATTCCACATGGCATACTCTAATTTTCATTTCTTAAACTAAAAGAAAGATCTATTTCCATTTTCCCTTTGAAGTGTATTGATACACACTATAGGGTATTGATACATCCCTCAACTGAGGTATCGGTACACTGCATGTGTATTGATACCCAAATTACATTCGAAATTTCTCGTTTCAAGGGGGTATCGATACACTCATTAATGTATCGATACACTATGAAAATGTTCTTCAAAATTGGTCTTAGTGTATCGGTACCTGTTGAATGGGTATCGATACACCCTTGTCCAGAAATCAATTTTAAGCACGAAAATTCATTCTTTTCAACTTCCACTCTTCATTTTTCATCCCCTTTTATATACTAAATTCAAATAGACCTACTTAAGCCCATTTATACACATTCAATACATCTTTAACTTCAAAATTCTATCCTCCATATGTAATTAAAAAATTACACCAACTTTGCAACATGTTCAAATTCCAATTCTAACACTTCATATTTTTTAATTCACCCATTGACAAGTCAAATTCAACTTCAAAATCTATTCACTCCTTCTATTTCAATAATTCACTTAAAAACTCATTTTTTTTAATTTCTCATAACTTGTTAATCTTTGAGTTTTAAGCCACCTAAAACTTTCCTTAATCTTTCTTAACATCCCAAGAATAAAACTAATTCAAAACTTATAAGAATTAACCAACTGAAAGCATTCTCACCTTTAGAAATGAGCTCATGGTGGAGAGGAGGAAGAAGAAGCTCTCAACTCCAAACTTTTCCTTATTCCCTCTCCCATTCCACGTTTTTCCTCTCCTTAAAAAGAGAAAATAAAAATATTTTCTCAAAAAAGACTATAATACCCTTATTACTTTTCAATTTTACTATTAAATCATTCACAAAATATTTTCCAATTTAGTCCTTAAACCTTTCAATCTTTAAAAATCATTCCTCACAGTTTCAAAAATTTTATTTTAGTCACTAACCCTGATTTTGGGATATTACAGGAATCATATTTCTTCTAGTTGTTTGAGCAGTTAGTTATGGTTTAATGGATCCAATTTTGGTATTTATGTATAGAATTAATGGAAATTCAATGTGTTAGGATTTTCGGAAGCTCGAAACGACAACCGGAACAATTTGCAAAGAGGGGTCGAAACGATTTTGTGTTTAGGGAGTAAGGAGATTGAAAGATAGAGAATTGCACAGCGATTTATAGTGGTTTGACTTTCTCAATCAAAGTCTACGTCCACTACCTTAGCTCCTCACCAAGGATTTTCCAACAAATTCACTAATTTGTTCTTTCTTTTGAGGACAAAGAGATAACCTTACAACTCCCTAGTTTTTCCGGGCTAAACTAGAACCTTTCCCTAGCTTTTACACAGGCTAAGCTAGAACATTTCCCCTTTACAAAAGGATAAAAGATGTAAACAATAAAACCTCTCTAAGGTAGGTGTTTACAAGAATTAAGCTCACAAGAACAAAATATTTACAAGAGAAAGATGAAATAAGAATGAAAAACTCTTCTCTTGTGTTTGATTACTTGGATAGTTGTTCTCTTTTTTCTTCAAGTGTCCTTAGCTTGTATTTATAGCTTGGAGTGTGTTTGAAGTCATATCTAGCCGTTGGGGATGTTTAGGAGCCGTTTGGGAATGATTTTTCTGCAAAAATAGGCTGCCCAGAATGGGGGGAATCGGTACCCCTTCATAGGGAATTTTTGAGCCTCGGGTTACTGTTCAAATAGTAAATTACTATTCATAAAAACATTTTTGTGCTCAATTTTAAATTAAAAGAACTTTGAATTATTTTTGTAAATTTTGAATAAATTCAATTAAGTCCAAATACATTTTGTAAATTCAATTCAAGTCCAAAAATCATTTTGCCTTAAATTGTTATATCAAAACATAGTTCAATACAATGGTTTGACTATTTCCTGTTGACGAAACCTTCTACCTGTTAATTATATATTGGCTGATTAATTTCTCGTTAGGACTTAGGAAACAATAGAGCTATGACTATGAGCAATTTTAGTTATATTGAAGTCTAACTGATGACTATTATTTTGATTTTTAGTCTGTTTTTTTTTTCTGTGGTGCTTCTGGGGCGTAATTGGGGCTGATATATTCCCTAAATGTCTTGAATTTTAATATATATGTAAACACCTTGTAGTATTCCAGAGATTAGCTAGTTGTATAGTTCCATATGAACCTGAGTTCTTATAGTTTTCATCGTTTTTAAGGAGCTACGCTTGGTAATTCTTCTGAAAGAACTCAAATTCCGGGTTGGAAATTAATTTTCTTACCATTTGAACTCATTCTTCTCATATCTGCTTCTCTAGAATATTGCCCTTGGTTGTAAAGCTTTCTGAATAAGCCAGTGATTAAAGCACATACTCTTTTCCCTTTCTTGAAACTTGGAAGCTTGTTCTAACATCTTAAGTTACGTTACGTTATTAGTCGCTGCTATTTTGTTTTTACTGATAATAGGTTTGTATATCATCCTACAGTGAATGTAACTTTATGGATGACGGTTTTGGGAGTATAAAGGTGATTCCAGATCATTTTCAGTCTCAACTCCTCCCAGGGGTGACTCTCTTCAAAACAGAAGTTCAACTCTTTTCTGAAGGTAAAAAGAGAAGAGACTGAGGATTTCTAGTTCATCTTATCTCAATGTCTTTTGGTTTGCTTTAGATAGGTCCCGTAGCAGTTTATGTCTCGGAGAAAATTAGAAAGGCTGCATCCATGTTGAATCTGTTCAGTTTGCGTGGCTTGCCATGGAGTGATGCTGATGGTCAGGAAAAGGTTCATATGTTCTTTGAATCTTGCCATTTGGTCTTATTAATAGTCGACATTGCTCACCTGAATTTTTATTTTGATATACAGATTCAGTTGGCTGCTGCAGAGTTAGAATCACTAAGATCAGAACTGGCCGATATAGAAGAGAGAGAAGGTTACTTAAAAGCTCAGTAAGGAAGAGCTGAATCTTGACTTTTAATCCATGAGCTATATATGTCTCTCCATAATGATTCAGTATAAGAAAGAGTTGTACTTGATTCTAGAATTTTCAAAAAATTGTGTTCTTAACTGGAAGTTATGTGATGTCTCCTAGCAAATAATGGTCTCTGAACCATTGGTTTTTCTATGTTTACTTATGGGTTTCTTTTTTTTTTTCCCTTTCCTGAGAGTATGTCCACCATACCTAGAAGCATTGGTGTACTATTGAGATTCAGACACAATATTTCTACATTTCTTTTATTGATGTTTCTGCTTTATGAAGGTTGGAACATATCGATGAAATTTTGCGGTCTGCAAGTCTTTCTGGCTATTTGTACATCCGAACAGTATGAATACGCTCTTGCTATCTTACTTCATATTTTGTTTTGGGCATCCTCTCCGCATGCGCAGCTACTGTTATGGGTAATGATTTTTCTATGAATCTTTCATTCGCAGAGGTGGACAGCTTTACCTGGAGAACCTGCTCCTCTTGATGATATTGATTTTGATGACTGGTCCTAATTTCGTTGTTTTCATGGCCAATGCATATTCTCTGTTTATCCTCACAGGTAATTAGCCTTTGGTGTATTCTCCTTTTTTCTTCTTTTACTATTATGAATTGCATCTGGATTCAGTGATGCATGATGGTACATGGTTGGTGTAATATGGAAGTGACCAAAAAAAAAATCTTTCAGTAGTAGATGAAATTTCAAATTCAAGATGATCAAGTTTTTAATTGTTCTGCTTTGATGAGCATAGTTTCAAATAATGTCTTAAGATTCTCTTAGTTCAACTTGGCCAAGCATCACCACTAACAATGAAAGGATTCTGCGAATATCTGCTGGTCCAATGTAAACATAGCACAGGCTGGTGTATTATGAACATTACTTGCTGATCAACTTCTTACTTTGCAGATTTGAGCCCTCAAGATTCCACACTTCTTTCTGATGTTGTTGAAGTAGGTTCTCTGCCAAACTTTGTAAGAGAAGATGAAGCGACACAATATGCCTTTTATATCTTAACTTGTCAAGGACTGCGTTACGAGTGTTCACATGTTTCTAAAGTACAGGTATACCTTGTTTTTGCTTACGTAACACACACACACACACACACAAAAGAGTACAATGTTTATTTCCATACTAATCAGCTTTTACATTTATTTGTGCCATTCTACTTATTCTTAGTTGTTGGAAGATATGCTAAGAAATTATTGGAGGAAACCAGAAAAACCTGCACGACAGTCTTTGGCACTTAAGCTAGTAAAATATATGAATTTTGATTTTGATCCGATGCCAAATGTTCTCGTTTCTTTAGAATTGAACATATGTTCATGCAAGCAAATAAATTTACGAGTTGCCATTAGATTCGTATCATGATTGTTCACAGTGTGGATAGTATAGATGGTTGTGAAGATTGTGATTTGTGAGAACCCTTCCAAAAATTTTTCACTGGCTTTAAGTAGGATCAAAGAAACTCCTTGGAGCTTGGTTGAATTCTGGACAACCTACAATAGAACTTCAATACATTCATATAATTGTTTCTCTTTTCCTAGGTGGACACCTGGTTATCGGCTTTGCAGACAGAATGTTGGGTTCTGATGTTAAAGTCCCAAATGGTTCCTAGTATTGTTTATGGGTTCTCTTGTAATGGCAACTTGGGATAGAGTTCAAACAGAAATTATGTTACCCAGATTCCTTGTTTTCCTTGAAGTATCTATGTCCGATTCAATCGTGTACGGGAAATGATCCTCCAAATATATGGAGTAGTACATATTCGATACTCGTCCCTAGTTCGGGTAAACATAGATTAGATGTAGCATATTCAACTCAGCTTACATTGAATTCTTCTGGGACTGGGATCCCACTAACAGTTGTTTTGTTGATGTACATATGATTGGCATTTCCAATAAAGCAGCACGTTGGTATTCATTACAGGTTTGATTCCTGGGTTTATTGTAATAAACTAGCTTTGCATGCAAGGAAGGTGTTGTATGTTCGAAAACTATTCCAAACGGAGTACTTTTAGGGTACGTTTGGTTCACAGAATGTAAGATTATTATCTTTGAGAATAAGATTATCGAAATTTAACATTACTCTGTGAACGTTGTATTACCTTGTTTGGTTTATTTTGCTGGAATGTAAGATTATAGTGTTTGGTTGGAGGAATATAAGATTAATTAGACATGCATATTTTATCAAATTATCTTTGTGAGATATTTTTTTAACAAATAAACCTTTAATATTAAATTATAAACATTTGAATAAAAAAATTTAAAAACATATAATTAACATAATTAATATATCAAACTTAAAATTTTAAATAATTTTCATAAGTACCATATTTATTTATATAAAATATGTAATATGAAAATAATATTTGATCTCGAGTGGACAAATATATTATTTTTAATGTATAAGATCTATTTAATAACTCAAAATTAAATATTTTAAATAATTACACTTTTACAATAATAATATTTCATCTCATAAAATTATAAGATAGTTGATATATTAAATATTAAAAATATAAAATAATTTTAACTACTCAAATTTTATTAATATTTTATTAAATTAAACTCTTTGTATATTATTTTATTAAGTTTTAAATTTTGAGTAAAATACAAATAATAAGAATTGAGAAGAATCCAAATGAAAACATTTATTATTTCAGGGGTATTTGTGTCTAAAGTGGTGAGAATTATTTATTATCTAACAATTTGGAGATGATAACATTCCCACCGTTTTAAAAAAAATTATTACTATTGACAATAATTGTCTGATAATAATATTTTCCGTTAACCAAACATATAAATATAATTCCAAAAAAATCATTCCTCTTTATAATGATTTTTTCGCAACCCAAACGAGCTTTATTGACTGCTTTTGCCCTGTGAGAAGGTAACTCTCCAAAATTCTTTTCTTGCGATTAGGCCCTTAAATGAACAGACAGTGCAGATCAAAAGACCCAAGACCGGCAAATTTCTTCACGTAATGCTTTGAAAAAAAACAAATCTTCACATATTGCATTTGATTAATTATTTGCTGAAATAACGTGATTTCTACAGTAACAGGGTTGGTCGCTAGGTGTTCTGGGCGACCTGTGCAGGTCGCCATGTCGTCCGAGCTCGTCCAAGAAAGGTCGCCAAGCAATCCATGCAGCGTTCAATCTTCACGTGCATGGGCGATGCAGATAACTACTGCATTTCAACGCCCTTGGAGATAGGTCGTCAAGCAATCTAAGGTTGGCCCGTGATTCCCCAGCCTCTGCTCTCTTGCTGCATGGTAAACCAGAATGGCAGCAGCAGCTAAACCAGAATGATATCAATATTTGTTGCATCCCAACGCTTGAACCCATTTCAGCAAATAAGCACGACGGCACAACGCTCAGACGACATGGCGACATGCATAAGTCGCCCGGAACACCTGTCGACCAACCCTGTTACTGTAGAAATCACACTATTTCAACAAATAATTGATCAAATGTAACATGTAAAAAATTTTATTTTTTCAAAACATTACGTGAAGAATTTTGCCAAGAAAAAACCCCTTATAACGGGAATATCTCCAATATATAATATAATATATATATATAATATATAATAATATAATATATAAAGAAGATTGTGCAGCAGGTGATTTGGGAAATAAATATTGACAAAAGAGTGAGTAGATATGCTTTATCATTATACTTTTCATTGTTTTAGTTTCCCCAGACGGCTAAGGCTTTTGATGAAGAAGAAGACATTCATCACTGCAAAGTATTGCGAGTGATTATGGAATGTTCCCACTCATTTTGTATTTTTTTGGGTAAATTATATTCTACACAACTTAATTATTGGGTTATAATATAACTATTAATCTTGATTTTATTAATTAAATTATTAAATGATTTAATAAAATACAATGAGTGATAATTTATATATTTTACTTAAATGTAATAATTAATATTACAATCATATGATGATTATGTGTCATCATGACATATTTACCATTGATTAGAAGTCTTTTTATTTAATTTATTTAATTGATTTTTTCTTAATATGGTGACAATGCTATTTATTGATTGAAGGAAGATAAAATAAAGAAATATGGTTTTCAGGGAATCAAAACCTGGTTCTTTGGGGATTAGAAATCTCACCAAATACTTGATTGATATCATTTAAATAATTAAGTGATTAATTGATAAAATTAAAAGATTGATAGTCAATTTGAATCTCTCATGTAATAATGGGCATGAGTATAATTTTTTAATTTTTTAATATTATAGCAAGTAATAGATTTTATTTTACTAAATATAATATACTTTTCATCAAATAATATTTTAATTTAAATTAGTAATTCAATTTAATATTAATTAATTGATTTGATAGTCAAATTTGATTGATAAAATTAAAATATTGATAGTCAAATTTGAATCTAATGTAATTAAGTGATCGAGTATATTTATCTAATATTTTAATATTATAGCAAGTAATGGATTTAGTTTACTAAATAAAGTATACTTTTCATCAAATAATTTTAATTTAAATTATATTCATTTAATTTCTTAAGAATATAATTTGAAGACAGGGAAAGTGACCAAGTCCAAAAAGCCCTAAACATTGGCGATATCTGAGGTTCAGATTTGAGACACGTGGTTTGGCATTTTTCACCTACAAGTTGGGGTAGATCTTTTATTGGCCGAACCCAACCCAACCGCGAAACAAAAGAAAAGTGATGTCAGCCCAGTCCAATCGAATCTCAGCCTCACATCAACAGAAACAACACAATAATAGTATATTTTTATAGGATAAAATACATATTATACTCAATTATTAATTTGATTACAAAAGAGTTATTTTATTTCTATAAGTTATAATTTAATCATTTAAAATGAGTACAAACAATTACTAACAAGTTAGATATTAGATGAAAGCATGATATATTGATCTAAGATAATAAAAAATTAGTCCTTCAAACTTATACATTCTATCAATATGATCCTAGTTCAGAACAATTTTAGAATTTAATTATTAACATTTGAAAATTATATTAATTTAATTTTTTTATTCTCTTAAAATGTTTATATCACTTTGATTTAATTATATCAATGAAAATAATTAAATTAATAGAATTTTAGATATAAAAGATAATTGAATAAGTCTTTTAAATTAAAACTAAAATGATAAAACTTATAAATTTTAAAAATTAATGATGTCATCATATGAAATCATATTTAACATGTTTAATTTTTTAAAGAATAATAATCTATTTTTAATAATATTTTAGTCACACAACGTGAACGACCAAGAGCAAAAACCTAGTACTAGTATAAATAAATGCCTCTTATCTTCCCTGCTTATCTCTCTCCTATCACTTCACATCCGTTGCTCTCGGCTTATAATCTAAGCAATCAAATCCGCAAAAATAAAAACAAACAAAAATGAGCTCTCAGATTTTCAGATCTGCTTCTAGAGCTGCCAGGTCTCTCCTTCATCTTCCAAGTCCTCTCGCTTTTACTCTGGTAATCACGTCTTTGCTCTG